TTTTTTTTTTTTTTTTTTTTTTTTTGTACTGAGGATTGAACTCAGGCCCTTGTCCTTGTGAGGCAGGTGCTGGAACCACTGAGCCAAATCCCCAGCCCCATGCTATTTTAATAGAGTAAATAAAAAGAGATGATGAAGAATTGTCTTATGTCATTTGGGTAGTAGCAAGGAACCTGTCTATAAAGGATTTAATTACAGTTCACTCTTATTAATTGTAGACATTGGTAATTGTGTCAAGAATTTATTTTGACCTCTGTAGACTGTTGAAGTTCAGGCGGAACACAGATTACAAACTCTTGACCCATATTTGCTCTTTCCTCTGTTCTTATTCAGTATCATTGACTTCATGGTACTTAACTCTCTTCATTTTTGTAGAAGCATTTTGCACCCTGAAATTGTGCTTTTTTTAAGATCTTCACTAGAATTAACTCCAACACACATAGCAGTTCTTACAATATGTATTTTATAGAGAATCATTTTCCTGATAATGACTAAACCTAGATTTCCATTATTTATGTTAGAGGTGTAATGTCATCATCTACTTCCATTTTTAAGGAAGATACAGAATCTCAGTCTTTCAGCTTACTTATATTCTTAAAAGGAAAAACACATATATTAATACCTCTATTCTCATCCTACCCTGTTTTATAAAGCTTTTGTGTGTCCCCCTCCCCCACTCTTTTTTTGCAATGTCTGGGATCGAACTGAGGATCTTGTGCATGCCACTGACCTAAGTCCCGTTCCATCCTAGGTTTTCTCTTTTGATTGTTGATTAATTTGGTGTTTATTTTCTCTGAAATTTTATGGAGATGCTACACTTAGTAGTAATGTTCAGCACTTGACTAGAGCGTAGTCCAGCAAAAATGGAGATAGTTGCTAAAGGATTTCTTCCTATTGGCTCTTTTTTTGTTCTCCTTTTTCTTCAGCAAATATTTGTTGAAGACCTGTTCTGTGTCATGCAGTGTGCTAGGTGTTGGGACATCAGAGCTGAATAAAACCAGACATTATTTATTGTCGGTTGGGAAAAAATATGTAAGTCAGTGACTCAGATGAAATTGTGATTGTGCCAAGTGTGTAGAGTTACACGCTAGGAGAGCCAAGAATTTATGGATTTGTTGTAAGAGTCAAATATTTCACTGAACAAAGATCTAGAGGGTAAGTAGGAGAGCACATTTTAGCTGTTGGATACAAAAGTCAGAGTAAAAGATCTGTGATGGGGAGAGCATAGAAAGTAGAAAGATTTGGAAGACTTGTTTATTAGCATACTTCTGGAGTCACTGTGCCAATCTAAATATTCCCCAAATATGTTTTAGTAGGTGTCCATTATAATTTAAAATTTTACGTTACAGAGCGTTTAAAAAGAATTTGTCCCACAGATGATCTAGATTTATAGCTTCTTGAAAGAAGCTATCTGTTATGA